TTTCATGCATCGACTTCTCGCGAGAGATCCACGATGTGGCGAGAATGTTTGCTCAGAACCAGCCTCGTGCCTGGAAGTTCTCCAGCGTATCCCCCGTCAGCTCCTCAATGGTGCGATACTTGATAGGCAACAGCTTCCGTTGCTTATCCGTCACGTAGTTGGTGTAGTGAACCGCCTTCGCAGGATTATACTCCGTGTTGCCCGCATGCAGCTGTGGGTGTAGACGATGTGCGATGCTCACTGGAGGCAACAGTGTCAGATTCGTGTGCACTGCCAAGGACGGTATCGGGAGCTTACCGAAGTCCTGCAACTTGAAAGGACCCGCACTGATGATAAAGCGCTCTCCTGAGGCTTCCGGGGTAGTAAGCGCGAGGGTGTAGGCTTCGGCCATATCTCGGACGTCGACCCACGCTACCCTGAACGGTAGGACGACACATGTCAGCATTCAGTCGCAGACATGACGGAAGGCTGCACGTACCCGACGTTGGCCAGTGACTCGTTGTCAATCGACCCTCCAACGACCGCACCATACCACCACACCATCGACGTGTTGAGCTTCTCCGGCTTGTCCACCTCATGCAAGACCGGTCCGAAGACATACGGCGGGTTCAGCGAGACCATATCCCACCCAACCTCGCCCTTGTGCTTGTTGTAGAAGTCCCACGCCGTGCGCTCGGCGAGAGTCTTGCTCAAGCAGTACTTTCCCAGCGGGGAGGCCTCGGCGCCCTTCTCGTTGATCTCCGCGATCGCGCCCTCGTTCCAGTCCGCTTCCGAGACAGTGACCATCTCCGCCGAGGGCGTGTTCATGGCCCCAGTCGAGGAGGTCACGATGAAGCGGCGCAGGGTGGGAGCATGCTTGAGCGCGGACGTCAAGACGGTAGTCGTGCCCTTCACCGCCGGGTCGATGAGCTCCGCCGGGTCGTCCACTGCGAGGTCAAAGGGCGAAGCTCCATGCACGATAGCGTCGACTCCCTGCACCGCAGAGTCAAATGCGCCTTCCTGTACATGCATGCGGTCAGACAGTCAGTGCCAGCACGATGAGGGGGCGTCGCACCTCGAGCATGTCTTCTACGACGGCAATCTCGAACTTGTCTCCGAATGATGCAAACGTCTTGCGAAGATGCGTGGCTTTGCTCTCGTTCCGCACGGTGCCCCGGACAGAAAAGCCTCGTTCGAGCAACGTCTTGCACGTCCAGGCGCCGATGAACCCGTTCGCCCCAGTGACAAGGACCTTCCCAGTATCGAGTGCAGGCATGCTTGCGTATAGAAGTGATGGCAGTAGGAGGGGGAATCCGGGGGATGGGGAGTCTTGCAGCTTTGAGATGGGATAAATCCAAGAGTCCGGAGCTACTGCACTTTTATATGCAGCATCCCGAGTAACAGCGACGTGATCACAGCTAGTGCGAATGGAACTGGCGAACGTCCCAGCCTGGCAAGTACTACTGCCATCTTAGTGCAGATCTGACACGCTTCGATCAACGGCTATCCGAGCAGCACCGTAGCAAGTACGTACGTGGCAAGCGAGATTCCCCTGGCAGCAAATGCTAGAGAGGCGACGCCCAGGGCCCAACTGCCCGTGGGATCCTGAAACGTTCGCTTGCGCAATCTAATTCGTCGAATCAGGTCAAGCATACCTCACGTCCAGCAAATCCACTCACGGGAACAATCCATATCAGTGGGTGCAGAACCCGCTGTGACTTCATCAGGAACGGAGAGCATGACCTCGAAGCCAGCGAAGTAGAATTTGAGTTTGAAGTCCCGTCAGGTGAGAAGGCAGAGTCTCCGAGTCGTCCTTGCATTAACACTGCCAAGTTGCTACGTCGCCTGCACTCGGATATCCTAGGGGGATTGGCGAGTGATTGAAGCGCACACAGGCGCACAGACCATGCCATCATCGTGGGACGCAGGAGTCGCAAGCGACCACCTCCGAGAGCGACAGATCAGCTCGTCTAGTGACAGAGCTCCATTTCGAAGTCGACGGTACCACGGTGTGCTTGCGGGGTGCATGGACAAAGACTATCGCATGAAAACGCTATACGTGACCTAACGTTGAGGTGCGCCCAGGCTTGTATGTGAGTGATTCGTGCGCCACGTACCTATAGTTACCCCAGGAAGTTCTAGCGTGCCCTAGCTAAGCCCCAAGGAGTAGGACGCCACCGGTGTTTGCTTGCTGTTCGGCGACCAGAAGGACGAATTAGCTCGCGCCACGCGCTGATGGATGGTGGTTTCGGGAGAAACAAACCAAGTTGAGGCAGTGCTTTGTCGTTCACGCGCTCACGGACGGAGAAGATCGGCGTTCGGCTGGGCCCGTGCCCAATTGATGGCAAGGTCTCTTCCCCTTTCGACTCGATGGTTACTACTAGCTTCAGGGATGTAGAGGATGTAGTTAAGGGCCTGAATTGCCAGACGTGAGCACGAACCAACGCATGAGGCATGAGGATGGTGAATTCCGACTCTATTAGGCTAACTCGAATGTCGGGACTACTTTACATACTACTGTACGTCTACGGATTAGGCGATGATGTGAGTATAGTACAAGCATTGATGCAGACTCCAGAGTGTAGGTTGTGTCCAGTCCAGTCCAGTAAGAATTCTCCACCGCCTCATACCGAGATCCAGCCGCGCTTGATGAAATCCTCGAGCGTATCCCTCGTCATCTCCTCAGCCGTGTGGTACTTGATGCCAAAGAGCTTGCGCTCCTTGCTCGTGTCGTACTGGATCATGTGGACGGCCTTGGCGGGGTCGTACGACGTGTTGCCGGCGGGAAGCTTGGGGTACAGGCGGTGTGCGATGTTCACTGGAACTCAAAGTAAGCATTCACGTTCGCGGAAGACGGCTCTGCCTGAAGATAACTCACCGAAGTCCTGGTACTTGAAGGCTCCAGGGCTGATGATGACACGCTCTCCGCCGGCCTCAGGCGTCGTGGTCGCGAGAACGTGGGCTGCCGCGAGGTCCCGGACGTCTACCCAAGCAGATCTGCAATCGCGTGTAAGCGTCAGTAAGATGTCTCAGGAGATATCAACCACCGGCACTCACCCGTTCGTCGCAAGTTCCTCGTTGCTGAGCTTACCCGCGACAACCGCATCCCACCAGAGGCGAGAGGACTCGTTCAGGTTCTCCGGCTTGTCCACCTCGTGCAGGACGGGCCCGAACACGTACGGCGGGTTGAGCACCGACACGTCCCACTGCACCTCGCTTTTGTGCTTGTTGTAGAAGTCCCACGCGGCCCGCTCGGCAAGCGTCTTGCTCGCGCAGTACTTGTCGCCGTTCGCCGCCGCCCGGCCCTTCTCGTTCACCTCCCGGATCGCGCGCTCGTTCCAGTCCTTCTCGGAGAACACCCGCGGCTCGGGGCCGTACTCGAGGATGGACGCGCACGAGGCGGTGATGACGACGCGCTTGACGGACGAGCCGTGCTTGAGTGCGGAGTTGAGCACGCTCAGCGTACCGTGGACGGCGGGGACGATGACATCGTTCGGGTCGTCTGCGCGGTTGTGGAATGGTGATGCGGTGTGTGCGATCGCGTCGACTCCCTTGACGGCCTCGTCGAATGCACATTCCTGTATGGGGCGTAGTCGATGAGCACCCTAGTACCGTTGGGCAGCGAGAATACAGGAGCGGAGACGTACCCTTGTGATGTCATCTACGACGACGAGTTCGAACTTGTCTCCGTACGACTGGAAGAGCTGGCGGAGGTACTTCCCCTTGCTCTCGGAGCGCACCGTTCCGCGCACGGCGAAGCCCTTCTCGAGGTAGGACTTGACGACCCAGACGGCGACGTAGCCGTTGGCACCGGTGACGAGGACCTTTCCTGAAGTTACTGCGGGCATCGTATAGAAATAAGCGTTGGTGTTGGTCGGTGTTGGGTTGGGTTTGAAGAGCAGATGTCAAGGATGAGATAAGTAGATGTGTTGAGGCTGGGTTGTGCGACCTCGACGCCTTTTTATATCTGCAGGCTGCCCTTGGACAAATCCCTCATGCGAGGCCGAGGGCGGGTTCTCGCACATTCCGCAACATGTTTCCCTGGGGTGCGACTCCAACTTCGGTAAGCACCGACGGCGTATGTACCAGTAAACCAGACGTCACTTACGACATAGGGTCATAACCCGACCGGACTTCCGGGCGGGCCCTTTCCGTGAGTGGCTTTGTAAGCGCTTGCTACCAGTTCTGAGGGTGAATCGGGGATCGACACTTTTTGCCTGACAAAGTTCAGCCTCCAGTCCTCTCGTGATGACCGCCGGTACGGCGAACTCGACCACCGAACGGAGACTACTCTTCAGCTTGAGCGAAAGCACACTCTAAGCACGCCCGCTTCTCTGTGTGCTGCAGTGCACAGTCAGCAAATAATGTCGCGCAGATGAGAGGCGGAAGTATTTTCCTCCATCTTGCTAGATCTTGCTGGGTGGAGATCGATCAGATATGACCTCATTTCACAAGTTGTATTACCCGCTATTACCCGACTGCCTGTGCTTGTCCTCGTCGTAATGGTGGTGAATGTTGGGTGAATGGCTCACAGAAGGTACGTATTCACTGTCTTGCTCTACTGAGCTAGAGGCTAGAATCTGAATCCTCATCAATGGTGGTCGGTGGCAAGTAAGGGAGGTCGGTAGGTCGGTAGGTCGGTCGAGTCTCAAGCTCTCAAGTCTACCACACAGAAGGTGAACGCACCAACATGCCTGGGATCCGACAGTTCATACATCGCACCTGAGAAGGATTCAACGGACTCAACGGCGTGGTTGGTCAAATCACTACCGTGAGTGTCAATGTCCGATAAAAGGTTCGGGAACAAGTACTTCAATACTTACTCATGACTATTACAAACTCGTGAGATTTGGGCGTCGCCTCTGATACCAAAGGCAGTGCTTCTTCCGGGTTTCGGTTGAGTGGTACAGTACAGTATCGTTCGAGTTTCAAGTGACAGAGGCTTCAGGAGAGTCTGCAGCGACTGGAGAATCGAATTCGAGTGACTGAATCGCGTACAACTTGCATCCGGGAGGTGATATGGCGCTATAGTGTAGTGGTTATCACCCGGGATTCTGACTCGCCATCGTCGGAGAACAGTATTCCCGTGACCCAGGTTCGATCCCTGGTAGCGCCTCTGCCGCGCTCACTAAATCTTTTTCATTTTGCCAGAAACCATCGAGTCGACTGCAGAGCCAACGTAAAAGCCACACGGGAACATCCGCGACGAGACGAACACTCATCAAGTACTCATGCACCCCTCACACAACGGACCATCGGAGACACGACTACTAGTGTTATGCACGGCTAATATACAAATGAACAGTGACAAGTGTGTACAGACTCGCAGAGCGAGCGTCATAGCATGCGGGGCACATGCGGCGGGCCCACAGCATACACAGAGCAAGAGAGCGTAGACAATAATAGTCTGTCCCTGCTCCATCCGACCAGCAAGACCACGGACGAAGGGAAGTGAGTAGTGGCTCGGTGATGAGACCGAGCGGGGCCGGGGATGTCAGATATGAGATGTGAAATGTGAAATGTGTCAGGACAGGACAACGAAGACCCCCGAGCGCGCTTCGGATGTGGCCGAAACACGCAAAGTATGGTCTAGCGTCGCCCTCTGCCACATATGCAAGAAGCCGGTGGGAGGATGGGAACATAGGAGCACGGGCGTGACGGGTCGTACGGGTCGTTATACAGGGAGAGATGGGAAAGTGGACGGGGCGCATGACTCCGCCCTGGGAGACGGATCGATGGCGGGCGGG